TATTTCACAAACTTAAAAACATTTGAAAAACTTAAATTCTTACCAGTAACATGTGACTCCCTGGTTGTCGAAGGACCCTTGTAGCTCTTGTGATGTGTTCTATGGCTTCCTTGAAGAACACCATGGAGTGAGAAATCTAGCAGAGGAAATGGGACAAATAAACTGATCACAGGCATAGAAAAATCTCATGTTCATTGTGGTTTTACATACAAGGATACAGGAGTGAGAATTATTATTCTAGTAATCCAATAATCTGGACCCAGTAAACTTATGGAAAATAAATTTGCACAATGAGGATTGTTCCTATGGCAATATTCTAGTGAGTAAGAGTAAGCGGGTCATAGGCTTGAGAGAAGAGAATGAGGAGGAGAACAACAGTATCCAGGATGCTTTTCTATTGCTCTGTCTTGGGGTAGAACAAGTGGTGGGAGGAAGAGTCTTAGGAAATTGGTTTACGGTATCTGTGATTTTGTGGGTGTCTCTGCTCCAACACATCTCTGCCCACAACAACAATGGGAAAGATGTAAAAGAGTCACATCCATTTTTCTGCCTCTTGTTGCTACTCTGCATCCTGCTGTTACACTCTCTCTTGCAATTCTTAATTCCACTAACTCTAATCCTTCAACTCCCTACAGCCTCAGCTGTGCCCCTTGTCTTTAAAATTATGCCCTATTAAGTGAGACAGGAGAAGACAAAACAATATAAACTTGTATTTCTAATGGTCTGCTTTAAAATCTGAGGGCACGCTTTTTTCCTGATCTCTCTCTTATATACACACACACACCTTAAAATATTTGATTTGATACACGTATATGTGTGTGCATATGTAAACATATATATACATATATAGTATTCCTTATATTTTTATATATAGTATATGTCTTTACCTCCAAAGATGTTGAACTCAACTTCATTTGGAATTCATCAAGTACACTGGCAAGTTTATTATAGTCATTGGTATTCTGATAGATCTTTTTCCTATGAGACTTGTTTATATCCAAGAAATCCACAAATACAGTTGAGTCACTCATCAATTTTTCTTTGGTCCATTGAATCTATTGTAAGATAATAATTTAATAGTATCTGTTAATAGCACAACTCTACTTGTTATCAAAACTAATGCAATATATCTGTATCAGAGAAGCTCTTGGTACAATAGATCTAAGCCTCGGGGGTTCTTAACAATTTTTGGGCTATAGACCCCTTTTGGCAGTGAAACGTATGGACTCCTTCTCAGAATAGTATTTTAAAATGCATACAATAAAATACAGAATTACAAAGGAAACCAAATATATTGAAATACAGTTCTGTCTAAAGACTCTTTGAGGGTCCGTGGGACCCAAGTTAAGAACCTCTGTTGCGGGAATAACATCTTGAGGTCTCACCAACAATCTGAAAAAAAAGAATCTTTCCTTAATCAGTTGTTAATTACCACCATAGATCTGCAAGCTTCCACACTTGCTTTCTTGGTTCACTTGGCAAACTCTTGCCTATCTTTTATACCAAGGTCATGGACTATCTCCTCTTTGAAATCTGATCATTTCCCTCTCTCCTAAAACCAGGTAGAGAAAATTACTCTTTCTTCCTTTGTTCCGCCAATGTGACCTATGTGGTACATAGGTCTGTGATAACACTTACAGAAATGTATTGCACCTGTTGGGTTGTAAGGTACTTGGAGCCAGGGCCCACACTAGTTCCATGTAGGTCTTGGCACTTATCACACTGGAAATTCCTGATAGGCACTCACAAGATATTTGTTTAGCAAATGGCTAAAAGAAGGTTGAGGGGCAGTATGACATGATGGTTAAGGGAATATCCAGATTCAGATATCCTGGGTTTGAATAATGACTCCATCACTTAACTAGCTGTGTAACCTTGGGCAAGTTCTTAACCGCACTCTGCCTCAGTTTCTTCATCTGTAAAATGAGGATAATAATAGGACCTAAATAGAAGGGATGTTATGGAGATTAAAGTGAGTAATGATATGTAAAGCTCTTAAAAGAGTGCCTGGCACACTGTAAGTGGTAATTATTATTAGAGTTATCACATTTTATTTTTAAAAAAGCCAACCAGCCAACCATTTGATTAAATGGTATTGTATAAACTGAAATTCTCAAAGGAGTAATTTACATCCTTATGTTCTTAAGGAAGGCTTGGTTAATATGTCTTTACTTTAATTTGGGGTATTGTAGCTGTTTTTGTTGTCCACAGGGCTGACTCCTGCTAGAGCAAGACCTGTCTCCGTAAGCATTTGCTTGCTTATTTTCTACGTCTCTACATCTATTTCTTCATCTAGCAAAGTCTTAAAACTGACTTGCAGTTGGCATTTATAAGGAGGGAGTTTAGGAACTTCTCCTGGGAAAAGAATAAGCTCTCTTTAGACAGTTATTTTAGCAAAGTCTCTGCATTCCTTCATTCATTCCTTTATTCATTCATTCACCTCAGATAAATTGATCAAGCACTAATTGGGAGTAAGGGAGGATGCTAAATTCTGGAGATTTAGGTAGGGATTAAAAAAATGACTGTTTTCTCTCTCTAACTCACAGGTTAGAGAGAGAGATAGGCAATTACATTATAATTCCACAATAGGAAAAGCCCTAGTCCTAAGAGAATACAAAGAAGGGACAGTTAACCTGGAAACGCCGTGGTGTTGACCAGAAAAGGCCAAGAGAGAGGAAGCATGAGCTGAATCTTGAAGGATGGCCAGGATTGAGCCAGAGGAAGGGACCCATAGAGTAAAGGCAGAGACAATAGAGACCATGCTGCATTCTTGCTAGAATATGGGGGTGAGATGCTCATATTTCTGGCATGGATGGAGGCTTGGATGTAATGCCAGTCACTGAGGTAGGGAACACCAGGGCAGGGCATCTGGGTGGCAGAGAGTGCAGTGGACAAAGACTGGGAATGGTTTTGCAAGTTGAGTACAAAATACTCAGAGTACCAAGAAACAGAGTTAGAAGTCAAACCAGGGTCTAACTCTAGATTTCAGGCTCTTTCTGCCAAACCACTTCTGTATTTGAAATGTAGATATAAGGTCTAGTTCTTTTCAATTTTATGATAGCTTTCATTTATTGAGCATTTACTATGTGTCAGAAACTACTCTAAACACTTTACACAAATTAGTGCCATTAATTCTGACCACAGTCCTGTGAGGTAGGTACAATTATTACCCTTTCTTTAGAGATGAGGAAACTGAGACACAGAGGAGTCACTTGCCCAAGGTCCCACAGCTCATAAATGGAGGGGCTGGGCTTTGAACTTGGGCAGAGCCTGTGATTGTAACCTCTATAATCAACTGCTTCTCAGGCTGTTAGGGAAGAATAGCGAGAACAATAGAAGAGTAGGGTAGAGATTCTAGTGTCTGAGTGAAAGGAACTAGAGACAACATGAGTCTGGAGCATCACTAAAGAGTAGCCCCAAGGAGGGAAAGGAAGAAGAGCTGCACATAGAGCCCTGAAGATGTTAGACAAGTGAGTGGAAGTGGTGGTGGATGTGGAGACAGAAAAAGAATTGTCCCTGGGCGCTTAATGGAAAGATTATTTTACCAAATGTCAAAAAAAAAAAAAAAAAATTGGAGGGCAGAAGTGATGTGGATAAACATAAATAATTATATCAAGACGGGCCTGGGCTGAAGAGCAGAAAACTTGGATTAAAAGAAAGTAACGATGGGAGTGTCTAGAAAAAATGTTAAAAGCTGTCTGAATTTGTGGCTTATCTAAAAAATATATATGTATACATACACAAATACATACATATATATGTATATACAGACATAGACTTACATATATGTATATATGTTGTATTCTGAGTTTATGTGCATGTGTGTATCTCTATGGATAAACTTTGTATTCCAAAATTCTCTTTTACTGTTGTAAATATAGTTGTACCTTTGAATTTATTTTTTCCTGGACTGCTATGGATAGGGTGAGAGAAAGCGGCACCACCAAAAAAGAGAGGAAAGCAAAGAGGAGTCACATTTGGAAAGGAATTCCAAAGGACTTCCTTAGTTCTCTTGAGAGGAGTTAGCAAAGATGTATCATAGAGGAGTGGAGCTTACTGCTCCATTGAGTTACAACCCTTTTAGTGTGAGTCAGTTTACTGACGCGCTTTCCTTTGTGACCTGGACTAAAGAGGCACCATGGAAACTAAACTTCAAGGGCTTCTAGGGGAGCAGAATTTGCTACCCCAAATTTATCTCTTGATTATTTTTAAGAACAAAAGACTCAGGAAGAAAGTTTGACCTCCCCCCTAACTGCCTAAAAGAATTTAAGATAGAAGGCCTGTCCCAGGAAGGAGCTCTCACCATAGATGACTATAGTATCATATGAACTGGGTGTGGTAGACGGGAGGAGCCTAGCAAGGCCCATCTGATCCAAGTCCTCTCCAAGTCTCCTTGTCTTTGCAAGGCATGGCAAATATTTGTCTACCAAATGTTTGCTTTTCCATCTCCATGTGAATTGCCTTCCTCCCTTTTGAAGTCCCAAACCACTGCCCCCAACATCCTCCTTTGTCTTTAGCTGAAGATGGTATCTAAGGTGGTGGCTTCAGCCACTTTGGTGAGTTACTCAGTTTCCCTGGTTTCTCCCATGTGTATATGTTATTAAACTTGTTTGATTTTCTCCTGTAATTCTGTCTCATGTCAATTTAATTATTAGACCAGCCAGAAGAACCTAGAAGGGTAGAGGAATATTTCTTCCTCCTCTGCAGACTAGAGAGGGATGAAGGGTCTTGTTGAGGTATCAAGAGAGCGTACAGTGCTGCTAGTCTTGGAGAAAAATGAGCAGTTTTGAGGCTCCTAAGAGGCCAAATGCATGAACAAAGGCATCAAGATCTTATCATTTCCATCATATCAAATCCACACTTATTCAGACATTTTCAAATGAAAAATGGAATTGTTAATAAACTTTCTCTCACTAATATTATAGAAATGTCTGAGGACTTATAAAACAATAATTTTGCCCAAGACACCATTTAAAATAATTTTTAAAATATAAGTTTACCTGAAAATAATTCTCAATTTCCTTTGAAAGAAACTGATAGAAAAGCCCTTTTTCAGTACGTTCAATTAAGCGATCATGAAACACTCGGGTGGCTTCATGAACAAAGTACAGAGCAGCCATCTCTTTGGAGTTAATAACAGCCTTGTCAGCTTGCAGCAATCCTAGGAGAAGCTATCAGGGATTTAAAAATAACATTTTTTTTTTTTTAAACATTAGCAGGGTAGTATGGGAAGTAAAGGCTCAATTTTTGCAGGTTTATGTTTCCATAAAAATAGAAGCAATTATCCAAGGTAAGCATTGTCAATTTGTACAAGTGATAATCTGGATTTTTCATGAGATGGGCAAATAAGTCAGGGAAAACTGGCAACATCACCCCTAGAGGGAGAGGGTTTAAGGACTCCTCAGCCACATCTAGTGAAGCTCTTGCTAGGATGGGAAGCCATGAGTCTTGACTATGGTGCTGATGTGGAGGCTGGGGGTTGTTGGTGATACAGAGCTGCTTCGTAACGCTGATATGTTCTAAGCTTCTTACTTTGGATTAAAAAAATTTATAACCCATTTCGAACATTGTATGTGATATTTTGGGCTAAAGTTCCATGGCAAGGAGAGAAAGATCGAATTCAAAAATTGTTTTTTTTTTAGCATTTTAATTCTGAAAATTATTTGACCAAGGCTGTAACTAAATCAGCCCTGTTGGCAACATTCTTTGGTGTAAAAAGAAAGACTTGTTGTGACTTGTGAAAATTCAAGCATGTTTATGAAATGCATACATGCTTTCATTTTATGAGAGCTGCAATAAAATCACAGGAATAGAGCAAAACCACAGTCTATGTTAAAACCTTGTCACTTCTTTCCCTGCTGAGGATCTTAGCCAATATTCTAACAGTCTTAGTGGTTTCGTCATTGAATTCTCTGCATGGAATTATATTAACAATTCTTTTTAACTGGCTCATGGGATAAACTGTTAATAAATAGCGAAACTAATCAATTTTTTTCCTCTTTTAACAATTTAATGTTGATAGTATCAATGAGTAGGTAAATGAAAAGAGACAGAGAGAGAGAAAGAGGGAGTCAATTCAGTAAAATTACATTTCCTCAACTTAAATTTTAAAATCAAGCTAGAGAATGAATTGTAAAACAAACCTTAAACATATCTCGAAGATTAAACATGTAGTGACATTTCGTTGGAGTTGGTAACATACTCTCACGTACTTGATAGTATACAGCTAGAGAACAAGATGTTATTTGATCTCTACTTTTCTGAACATCGGATGTGAAGTTATTAACAGAGAAATACATTCCCAAATGAGCCTTTAAAAAGAAATTTTATAATTTAGTTTGCCAAAAATTTTAAGCACAGATTATTTCTAGCTAATCTCCACTAAAAAGGAGATGTGTGTGCTATAATGGAGGATTAATTTCATTTAAAATGTTAGTAATTAGAATCCATTTTAGACAGATGGCAGGCTAGTAAAGACACTCTGGGTGTTGCAAACTGGGGAGAATTCCAATTGGTCCTAGTTTGGTGAATGATCAAGAGGTATGTGTTACATGTTCTCTGGGGACAATTTATGCCCCACCTGTGTGTATACCAGGTGTGTTGAGAATTCCTCCATCTCCTCACTCCCCAGTAGATGTTACCAGAAGAAATATAAAGTGATAGAACCATCAGCTCAGTTTGGATTGGTATATGTATATATATTCTTCTACATCAGGTTTTCTTTGAGGTGTGGATTATTGATCACCTGCAGAATTACCAAGTGCTTTTTGAAAAATGGATTTTAGAAATTAATCTTTAAATTTTATGTTATAAAGAAGAAAAACATGTGATTAGTTTTGAAGAATTTAGTAATCTTCTATAAGATTTTCCTACTCAAACTAGATTTCAAGTTGAGCCATTTTTCTAACAAGATACTTCAGAACTTTTTCTCTCATTATTTTTTATTCTGTAAGGAAATGAAAAGAACAAATTAACACTAGCAAAAATCCAGTGTGCTTGTTAATAATGCAGATTCCTGGGCTCCATCCCAAATATATTGGATTAGCATCTCTGAGAATAAAGTCTTGGGATCTACATTTTAAACATGCATTAAACATGCCCCACATATGTTTCCTGTGCACACTAAATTATATTTTTTATATTTAGAGACAAGATATAACAATAGGCCAGAAATTATAGGAGGGGATAAAATCCACCCCCTTAAGAGAATTTTTCTTCAATATTAGTGGTTTTAACTTCTTACATTTCCTCTTATACTATGGAATTAAAAGTTTTTTTCAGTAGAAAATGAACTAGATGCATTACCTGGAAAATAGTATGTAAGGCACTTTGTGGAGGGTGAGGCAAGACGAGAATGGAAAAATGTTTGAGGAGACGTGGGCTAATATTTCTCCTCCCAACTGGAGGAACACAAGCTGCAACTAGAGAGAAATCTTGAATATTCTGTGGGAAGAGTAAAAAGGAGGAGTAACTAAATATATCTGTAGAAAGTGAAATATATACCCATTTCCCAGCCTCAAATGGACAAAAGATTTTAAAATGTTTAGTCAAAAAGATTAAGATGATTATTTACTGCAAAACAAAAATTATGAGGGTAACAGAAATCTATCTTCTTAGAAGTAACCCATCCTAAAATGAAATTTCAAGACATGTTACTTCTGGGAGACTTTCTAAATGTCATCAGGAAATAGCCTGTTTTTAAAAAAAGCAATCACTGGAAAATAAGCAATATGTTATTGGGGCTAGCAAAGTGGACTCTGGTGATAAGTGAGAAATGAGGAGAAAAAGCCTGGTGAATGTGTCTCCAGACAGCCAGAATTGGCTTGGAGTGAGAAGATGCTTGACTGTTTACATGTTAATAGCCATTGACATATTGAGATATTAACAACATCACAGCACTGTAGAGGTGGGTGGAATCATACGATAGTCTAGTCTACTCACAATTGGGCTGCTTTTAACAGCTTTGTTCCTGCGTATGCCCATGTCCAAGGCCACAGAAATCCCATAAAAGGCCTGCCTCACTATTTTCTTGACAGTTCAAGGAACTTCACCACGTCGTGCATTCCAGACTCATCTCTTGCTTTCTCTTTTTTCCTAGTCTACTGGGTTCTCCCTGGATGGGCTGCATCCAGATTCTTCTCTCTGCCTTGGGTTGATGGTTGGTTCAGACAGTCTGACTGGTGACTGAGCTGACACCACTCATCAGCCACTGTGCTGTGTTATCCAGGATCCTGGGCCCAAGTTTGTCTGAGACATGAAACTGTAATGCAACCACCACATTTTACAGTTGAGGAACCAAGGCCCAGAAAATAAAGTCAGTTCTGAAATACTGGGCTTGTGATTTCCAGAGAAGAAATCAAATAAGGAGAAAAGAGCATTTATTTTTTAAAAAAATTAAGCCATTCTGATTTGGTCCAATGTAATTGAACAAAATAATTGCACAGAAATGTCGCCCTGGGAATTTTTTTGACTTTGCAATACTTCTGAAAATCCTTGATTTATGTTCTTGAAAATAAAGATGCAGAGTAGTCTTACATAGACATTAAAGATGTATTTGTTAGGCCACGTTTCATTAGCTTTTCTCATACGCAGTAACTGTTCATGCATTGAAAAATGTGATTAACTATTGATGCACTTAACAGTAGTGAGCATTATTTGACTCAGAAACTAAACCTATAAGACATACTTGCAATTTTTACTAAGATTTAATCCTACCAAAAGTAGAATTTCTATGAACCCAAGGACCTGTGCTAAATGGCAAAGATGTAATTGGCATGGTTAAATTAGGGTCTCAACTTTGCTCTACGTGTCCGTCTGACTAGACTTTATAAATTTCTCACTTAATTCACTCAACATTGTTTAAATCTTAATTTATCATTAAGTAACAATATTTAATGTGAACAAAATCTTAGTATATACTGTACCTTCCATGCAATTTTTTTAGTATCATAAATTCCTCCCAAATCGAATAATTGTCTGATTAATTCCAGGGGTGGCTGTGCTCCATACATATCTGATTCTGGGATATTCAGATCATCAATAAATATTACAATCTCAAGGAAGACAAAAGGTTTTAAAATGTATTAATTAGTACTGCCTTTCTTTAAATTATAAATTAAGAATATTAATTATGCTATGGCATAAGAACTAAATTATATGTAATGACATGTCTGTTTTTTTATTAAAAGGTAGCAGACCAAATTCTATTTTGAAGATATTATTTTGCAGAACAATGTTTTCAAAATAGCAGAAACTCTACTCACTATAAACCTACAATAACTATGTCTAATAATAGAAATGTATTTGATGCTGGATAAAGTAATCTAATTGTGGCTATTACAAAGGAATATGGTTTGTGTTCATTCAAAATTTACTTATTGAGTGCCTACCATTGGCAAGGCACTGTTTTAGGTATTTATTTCATATGTACCCTGGTTTAGGAATACGACTGTCAACTGGAACTAGACTTTTAAAATTCTGCTGCAAATGCTGTTGTCATGAACAACGAGCAGAGAATTCAGACGCATTTCCAATTTTTAAACTTGTGTTACTTTCCACTTTGGAAAACATTATGCTCTGAAGTGCACTGATTGTAATCTCTGTGTGCATTAGCCCCTTTAGATTGTATTTATTTTTGTAAGACAAGTAAAAATTTAAAAAACACAAATAGTCATTTATTTTGAATTACCTAATTTGTAACTGTCAACATCATTTTTTTAGTAAGACACTCAACTGCCCCGCTTTTGTATCACAAACTGGATGATTACAGACAAACTGGTTTGACTGAAATTTCTCTTGCTGGCATTTTTCACCTGTGTGATTAGATTGACCAATTATCATCCTTTTCACTATCCCAAAAATGCACCCAATTAGGCAAAGGCCCACCAACTTTATCCAAATCTTCAGTTAAAATCAAGGAAATCTGAAGCAAACCATTAGAAGCTCTTGAAATTGACAGCTGCAGGGGTTAAACCCAGAGCCTGCTAAGGAACCCACGTCACTTTCTTACCAATGAATCCTGCAACTCTCTGGACGCTGACCTTGTTTTATGGCACTGAACTGCAATCACTGATTGTAAATTTTAATTGTGACACAGAGTTTAGTCCAACAAATGGACAGTTAATGTCCCAGGCAGAGAGAGCGTAAGAAGCAGGAACACCCAACACCAGTTCAAGAAAGTAGGAGTTGTCCGAGTGATAACAAGGCTGTTCTCTTGATACCTTTCCCTGAGGCTGTGGACACCACAAGTTTCTCTTCCTCTTAGAGTCCCAAGCCATGGTCTCAGGAAGAAAATGTGGTAAAAGATTCAGTAACAAAACAATTGGCATCTAACTCATTTTCCAGTCTTCTAATCCGCTCATGTTTAATTCAGATTCCAGTAGATTCTTTTGGCTTTAGTAATTCTGAATCAGTACAATTCATCATGTTGGAAACTGAAGTATATTGATTTGAAGACCAAAGTTGCCATCATAAAGTACATTTTCTAGTAATGCTCAGGAGTGTATGTTACACCTATCTTTTTTTGTTTACTCGTATTAATTAAAAGAAATCACTTTATCACTTGAGTAGTATAAGCAGATTAGTCAACAGGTACTGGAGGTGTTTTACCTTGTTGTTTTTTGGTGCTCCAAGAGTGTCTTTAGTTCTTCTTACTAACTTTTTAAAGATCAGCTCCTTGGCTTTGGCAGCTGTCATACTGATGCTAAAATTTATTGTAGAGATTGTAATTCCTTTACTATCATTTTTAAATGAACTTTCATCAGTTCTAACTTCTGGCTTTTTAGTAGTCTTGTCTATGATGCCAAGTACGGACAGAAAAACAAATTTAGAACACTTTAAGAATATTTTTGCTTTACTTGAAGGTGTTAAGAAATATGAAAATTACATTATTTTACCATATCGTTGTCATTTTCAAGAAATTACTCTGAGGACAATTCAATGACAGAAGGAATACCAACTTTGAAATGTTTCCAAGTATTTCCTTACTTTTACGTGGTAAACAGTGTCTCTTTGCCACCATAGCCAAATGCAACAGTAAGAAAGCTCAAAGAACCCTCTGTTCGTTTACGCGCAATAGACACGTATAACTTTTTATGCTTTAAAAATATTTAGATTTGCAATATGCTACATTTACAATGAAATTACCCATGAAAGAGCTAAAATCAGCATGTAGGCGTGTCCACCAAAGGCATTGGAATTAGGACACATTCCCTGGGCGAAGATCATCCAGAAGCGTTATTTGGGATGGTACTGTAGCAAATGCAAAAGTAAAAACAACAAGAAAAACTCTTCTGGAGGAATCTTGCGGCCAGGCTCCCTCTCCTATGCTACAGCTATCTCTGGGCCACCCCATCTTTTCCTCTTCAGAAGTGGAGTTACTGCTTCCCAAACTACTAAGTCAGAATTTTCAAGGATGAGGCTCCTGGAGCTCCACGTGTTTCTACTGTAAGCCTGATTCGAGAACTCCTACAGAATCATAACTCGTCTATTGCATTATTTCTAAAAGCGTTAAAGAAGAGTGTAGACAGATATTGCCTTTAGTTACTTCTAGACTTAGTCTAAGTTTCCACTGATAAGCCAGAGTCTCCGCTTTCTGTAAGCAGATGTGATGCTCCTCTACCATAACCATTCCAGCTTTTGAGCAGAGCAGAACAGTCTGAGAGGGTAGAGAATATTTTCCAGGACTTTTTTTTTTCAAACTACCAATTGAAATTTTCATTCTGAGATTTCCGACAGTATGAAACGACTTGCATTTGGTAGAGATAGGAAGCTTTTGAAACTACTGTAATACCTACCTAGACTTGTGGTTGCTGTCTTTTGATTTTCAGAAAACAAGATGCTGATATTCTGTTTCAGTCTGTTGGAATAAAATGTTTCAAGGATTCAAAATTAGCTTATTTACCATATTAGCCGTATGAACAAAATATAATGAAAGTATCAGTGTGTGGTTGATTTTACTTCTATCTCCTACAAGGAGACAAATATTTTTTTTCCTGTTCACACTTTTACAGATAAAACTAGTGTCACCATTAGACCTGATACCCAAATTTAACAAAATATGGGCTTACTCTAAAAAACAAACTGGGCAAATTCTTAGGATCTCAGTCTATTGGGTATCTTCTATGGATAGTAAGCCATTAACTCACTTGTTCCTTTATAAAATGCCTTTTGCCTTATGGATCACTCAACAAAAGCCCTATTCACCTTTATTTTGGTCTCGTCTGCAGGTGTTTCTTTCTCTTACATTATCTTTCTTTATTGTTAAAATCAGTTTAAATATTGAACATACAGTAAAATTTATTTTTTTCAGACTCCATTATTTATTATTATAATAATTTAGATAAGAAACAATTCAATTGTATTAAATATTTCAAAAGTTATTTCTTTAATTCTTAAGGCCTTATTTAAGTGTAGTAGGATTCTATTCCAAAATCATTAGTATAAGATGTGAATGATGGTGGCTTGGACTAAAAGTGGCATTGAGGGGCTGGCCCCGTGACGTAGTGGTTGAGTTTGGCGCACTCTGCTTTGGTGGCCCAGGGTTTTCGGGTTTGGATCCCTGGCATGGACCTGACCACTCGTCATCCATGCTGTGGTGGCAACCCACATACAAAAAATGGAGGAAGATTGGCACGAGTGTTAGCTCAGAGGTAATCTTCCTCAAGCAAAAATAAAAAGTGGCATTGAAAAGAGAAAAGTTGAGGAATTCAAGATGTATTGTGAAGATAGAACAGACTTGAGTAGCAGAAGATTGCTTGTGGGGCAGGGGAAAATGAGGGCACAGGGATTGGGAGGCGTCAGATGGACTATTGGAGATGGGCTGGTGAGAGCAAAGAGAGGAATTCAAGGATGATTCCTAGATTTCAGGCTTGAATAACTGGGTCTCATTTATTGTAATGAGAAACACTGGAGGAAGAATAGGTTTGGAAGAGTAATCAAGGGTTATGTTTTAGCTATGTTAATGTTGGGATGTTCATGAGATATCCAAGAATATACGTGACATAGGCAGTTGGATATGAGTCTAATGATTAGAGGAAAGGGCCTGATGTGGGCCTCTCCACAATTCCATCTTCTTATTCAACTCAAACAACAGCAGGCTTCTCTAATCTTTTAATTAGAATTAGAATTAACCTTAAAAATTTGCACTTTTTTTTTTTTTTTTTTTTTAAAGATTTTATTTATTTATTTTTCCCCTCAAAGCCCCAGTAGATAGTTGTATGTCATAGCTGCACATCCTTCTAGTTGCTGTATGTGGGACTCGGCCTCAGGATGGACGGAGAAGTGGTGCCTCGGTGCGCGCCCGGGATCCGAACCCGGGCCACCAGCATCGGAGCGCGCGCACTTAACCACCAAGCCACGGGGCCGGCCCAAAAATTTGCACTTTTTATTTGCACAATTTAGATTTCTTTTTCATTCTTTTTTTTTCTTCAGGAAAAGACAGAATGACAGAGACAAAGTTCTTTGTAAAGAATATTTTTATATTTGATAAGAAGAAAATATATTTCTAGTGCAAGAAAACCAATTATATGCAACACTTTATATGTTTTAGGTGCATTTTTCCAGGAAGGAAAAGAGTGTATAGCTGCACTTTGTTATGTTAAAAAAAACTTGAGATTTTAAATTTAGTTATATTTAAAATAAGTGTAAGAATTTCTCATTTAAAGGAATTAAGCTAGTTGCAAATATTTTGGAAAAGTAAAGACTTCCTTCTTAACTTCTCTTTGAAAAATTCTCAGTTTTACATAAGTTTTCTTTTTAAAACAAGGCACATTTATATTTTAAAGCAAACATTTCTTTTATCAGACAAATCAAATTTAGAGTTTAATATATACAACCTTGATTTTTTAATTTCATTGTATAATAGAACTTCTCCTAAAATTGACCCGTATTTCACATCGAACGCTCCTGAGCCCTCCAACTTTTCAAGCATTTGATTAATGGCAGTGGTTTTCCCAACACCAGAGTCTCCTAAGGGAAAAAAAATACTTTAGATTAGATTTATATGCAAGAAAGTGAATAGATGCAAACATATTAAAATGAACCAATAACATTTTCTTTCACTTGAAAATTTCATTAAAAGTATGTTTTTGCTCTTTTCTTTTTCACAAATGCGGTTAACAGTGGGTAAACCAGGGAGGTAATATGAAAACCTCTCAAATTATTTGAATGATTTACATCTCATACAAAAGGATAGATTAGGAATTAATCATTACTCTTATCTGATGTTCATTTAAGCCTATCACAAATCTTTTTGCTTATAGCACAGTAGAACTACTATATGAAATTAATTTCCCTAAAAATTTTTGCCATTACAATCTGGGGGAGAAATTTGATGATTAACTCCCTACTGCAGCAGAACAGGAAATCATGAATTTATAATTCCCCAAATATTAAGTAAAAATAAGAATTTTCTTAGACCAAATTGGAGGCAAGGTGTGGGTTATCTGAGAGTTCCGACTTCATTTTGCCTGCATACTTTGAGTATGGAACTCAGAAAGAGACACTATTGCCTCCAGTGAAAGGCAACACAACTTAGAGGGCGAGAAAAGGCAAGTGAATGGGTTCAAATAAATGTTAAGGAAGGGTAGGAGATGTATCCAATTAGTCCTTTGATAATGAGAAGAGACTGAAAAATTTAAACATTGGGCTGAGGAATTATATGTGTCAATTTTTTTTTTTTTTTTTTCGGTTAGGAAGATCAGCCCTGAGCTAACATCCATTGCCAATACTCTTTTTTTTTGCTGAGGATGATTGGCCCTGGGCTAACATCCGTGCCCATCTTCCTCTACTTTATATGGGACACCATCATAGCATGGCTTGACAAGCGGTGCGTTGGTGTGCGGCCAGGATCCAAACCTGTGAACCCTGGGCTGCCAAGGCAGAGTGCGTGCACTTAACCGCTACACCACCAGGCCGGCCCTGTGTCAAATTTTTTTAATCAGGCAATATCTTTTTATTTTTTCCTTGCACGCAGTTATGCGAGTAAATGTAATTAAACCAATCAATGTTACTACCAACAGTGGCCCTCCAAGGACTTCAGCCCACAGGCTATGGAGGCCATACATATATTAATCTAATAGTTCTACTCCTGGAATTTGTCTTGAAGGTAATGACATTAAGATGAAAAAGATTTATATGTCCTATATTGGCAAACGTGGGGAAATGGGCATTCATATACTGTTGGTAAGAATACATATTGATGTAGTCACCTACGCTTTTTGGGGCCTATTTTGTCCCACTTATAAAATAAAATAGTTAGATTAAATAATTACTAAGCCTCTTCCTAATTCTGCAATTCTCCTTCTCTAAATATTTTTAATACCTGTGAGAAGTACAGGGCAGGAATTCTTTAAAAGGAGGCTCATGAGAAAAGAAAGGCACGTTGTGTCTCTGGTAGCAGTATGATTAACGTTCTCTCCATATTCTGGTATCTTCAAGAGGTTTTCATCTGATCCTTGAGGATCGGCTAGTATTGAAGTTCCTAAGTTGAAATTTAAAGAAAGGTTTCAAATGACCTATAAATAAATGTTAACCTAATCTTTTAGGTAGTAAATACTGTCTGTACATTATAAAGCAATTTAAACATATATAGATAAGCCAAATTTTTGCAAGTGCCTGGGGGTCTCTGCTTGATCTTGGAAATTGTCTCTTTCATACTCACAGCTTGTGAACTCACCACACACATTCCTAAGTCCACTACAGGCAAACACTCTGACTTTCCTACCACCAAACCTACTAATCTGCCCTCGTATGCAATGCAAGTGTCTCCTCCAACTTCCCTCCAGTAAAAATGAAGAAAGGAGCTCTCTGCCAAAGCCTCCTGCACTCATCTTTCAAGAACTTCACTTCTTTGGTAATCCTTCTCCCCCACCATTTTCTAACTCTTCCTTTCTATTGGAATTTTCCATTCTACAAACACAGATGTGCTAGTATCTCTAATCTTTTTATTGGTTTAACCATGTGAAACTGACATTTTTGTTAGTAAAAACCAGTTGAACACAGGCAATTTTACATGAAATAAAACACACACACAACACCCCCCAAACTAAACCAATCTCCCTTGATACCACAGTTTCCTATAAATATTATCCCAATTCTTTCCCCCATTACACAGCCAAACTCTCAAAAGGGTTAAATACAACATAGTCTCACTTCCTCATCTTTTACTCCCTCTTTTTCTAATGAAAAATTAATTGAATAGCTAATATCACGTGGTACACAATTCAAAAGTACGTAAAGGTATGCAATGAACAGTTAGTTTCTCTCTCATCCCTATATCCTAGTCACCTAGTTCCCATACTGTGTATACTGTTCTGCAATTTTTAAAAATTTAGTGCATTTTAGAGATCCTTCTATACCAGTAAAGACTTTTTTCTGATTATTATTATTCCACTTAATGAATGTACCATAAATTTTTTACCAGTGCTCCAGTGATGAATATTTATGGTGTTTCCAATCTTTTGCTATTACAAATAAAGCTGAGTTTATGTAATATACACATGTCATTTTGCACACATGTGGAATGATTTCTTTTAAATAGAGTTGCTGGATCACTTTAAACTGGCATATGATTTATACTTTTGATATATATTGACAAATTGCCCTCCAATGTTTGAAAGTCTTTGAGTCCTCTTACCTTTGCCAAAGCTATCAAACTTTTTGATCCTTGTCAGTATGATAGGCGAAAGATTGCGTCTAATTCTAGTTTGGTTTTCATTTCTCATATTATGAGTCAACTCTTTTTGTATTTCAGAGCTATTTCTTTTTCTGTGAACTCTTTATTCATATTCTTTATCTATTATTTCATAGAATGGGCAACTGGTTTTTTACTTTGATTTGTAGGAGCTGCTTACACATTAAAGAAATTAGCTCTTTGTGGTATGACTTTACTTATTACCAGTTTTATGTAGATGATATTCAGCTCTGTTTTCTTCTCGGCTCGTAGAAGTCGTGTCATATTTAGAAAGGTCTTCCTCATTCCAAGATTATTTAGACATTCTCATACAATTTCTTCTAATACTTTTATGTTTTTTTATAAAACATTTTATTTTTTTGATTCATCTGTGAGCTGGTTGAACTAATACCATTTTTATTGACTAATCTACTCCCCACGGTGATTTGAAATGCTATCTTTTGTTATTTGCTAAATTTCTGAATGTGTTTGTCTTTATTCCTGGACACTCTTTTTCATTGATCCTTCTGGTTTTTTTATTTCTCAGTACTATGATTATTACATTCGGTTGAGCTAGTCTGTCCTCATTATTTTCTGCCTGTTCTTACTTGTTTGACTTTTCTATACGGAATTTGGAATAAGCTTCTCTAGTCCCCACCCTGCCTATTTTTATTTTATTTATTTTTGTTTATATTTTATTTATATATATTTTGCTTATACATTTTGGTTATTTATATTTTATACTATATTTATATTTTCTTTATATATGTTTATTGGGATTATTTTTACTTTATGGATTAATTTAGCAAGAATTAACATCTTTATGATGTTGGGTCTTCTTATACAAAAACATGGAAAGCTTTTTTGTTAGCATGTCTTAGAAGTGCTTTCAAGTTTTCTTCCTGTTGATTTTCCATATTTCTTGTTAGGCTTAGTCTTAAGTATTCCATCATTTTTTTTTTTTGGTTTTGTTTTTGCCATTATAAACAAGATTTTTTCTTTCATTTTTATCTTATAACTTGTTATTTGTTTGTGTATGTGAAGAATATTGATTTCTATATGTATTTTGTATTTAGAGATATAACTAAATTCTCTAATCATTTATAGTAGTTTTTAAGTTGATCCTTGAGTTTTTCAGATGTTTTATTCTAACATCTGCAACTAATGAAAATTTAACCCCCTCCTTTCCAAATTTTATATCTCTAATTTTTTCTCTTTTCTAATTGCATTGGCTAGTATCTCCAGAACAGCATTAAATTAAAATATTGAGTTTTAATGGTAATACTTCGTGTTTCCCCATTAAGTATGATTTTGCTGCTGTTGTTGAGTTCTTAACTTCTGTTATATTTTTCATTTCTAGAAGGTATATTTGGTTCATTTTCAAATGGGCTGTATCACGTTTTTTATAGTTTATCACTCTTTTTAGGTATTTTCAAGCTTACTTTTTATTTCTTTAAATACGGTGAGCATGACTATTTTAGAATATGCAGCTAATAATTCCAATCATTCAAGTTTTGTTAATTTGTAGCTGTAATCTTGTTTCTACTAATTATCTTTAACAGATTAATATATTTGAATAAATATTTCTTAGAGATAACATAAGGCTTAGGATAACAGTACCATTCTATGGAAAGTATATCTAATGGTTTCTTACCAGATGCTTAGAGATTAATCAGGGATTACCTTAATTCTCATTTAAGATTTGAAGTTCCTTAAACCACTCGGGATGGTGTACCTGGGCTCAGGTTATTTGTACCTCGACATGTTCATCTTTACACAGAGGAGGAAGCCCTTCATCGTTGCCGATTAAATTATATGTGTATGTGTGTGTGAGAAAGAGTGGAGGAAAGGGAGCTTTGAATTTTGTCCTGCTTGACCCTTGAATAGCCAAACTAACTGATTCAATGGCTTGACTGGTTCTATCAAAATTACATATGATTAGTGGTTCCAGTTCAAGATGGTGACATAGGAGGCTCTAGAACTCCCTTCTCCTACAGGTACACTGAATATACAGCCACATACAGAACAATTCCCTCTGAAAGAAATCCAGAAACTAGTTGAGTGACTTGTATACACTGGGTGAATGAGAAAAACCCACATTGAAATGGGTCACCAGTATCTCCCTGAAAGGAGCTTGTGCACATGTCTGGTACTTGGCTTCTGTAGTTGCTACCTAGAGGACACGTCCTTTGATAGCCTGGCTCTGGTGGCCAGAGGGGCTTGTGTTCACAGGTTCAACGGGACTGTAGTAAACAAAGAAACAGTTTTTTTAAAACAATTTTATTTATTTATTTTTTCCCCCAAAGCCCCAGTAGATAGTTGTATGTCATAGCTGCACATCCTTCTAGTTGTTGTATGTGGGACGCCGCCTCAGCATGGCCAGAGAAGCGGTGCATCGGTGCACGCCCGGGATCCGAACCTGGGCCGCCAGCAGCAGAGTGCACGCACTTAACTGCTAAGCCACAGGGCTGGCGCCAAAGAAACAGTTTTAAACCAGCTATACCCCCAGGGCTCAACACCGAGGCAGTAGACAGAAATGCCCATCTTCCAGGTTTTCCTTGAAAGAGGCCAATTTGCATATCTTAAAAGCTACAGCCTGAGGGTCAGGCTTCTAATTTAACACACATCTAGGGGCTGAGTCCATTCTTGCCAGAGACCAGGGAGGCTGGTGGCACAGTCTCTGCATTCTCCCTCTGGCTTGATCCAGGTTGCCGGTATTTCCCTGGGAGGACACTGAGCACAAGTCTGGTGCCCCAGATTTTGCACCTGCCACTCAGGGGACACACCCCAATCTGCCTGACTCTGGTGGCCAGAGGGGCTGGTCTTCGTGGATCCCAAAGGACTGTCACAAACAAAGAAACAGTTGTTAACTGGCCATCCCCCAGGGCTTAGTGCAGAGGTAGCAGACAGAAATGCCCACCTCCCATCTTTCCCTGAAAGATGTCTATTGGCATACTTTAAAAGCAGCTGCCTGAGGGTCCAGCTTCCAATCAGCCTGTATCTAGGTCTGACAGAGATCTCTCCCTTTGGGACACTGACAGGTCTTGGCATACCCTTAACTGCTGGAAGTCACTAAAATCAAAGAAGGCTGCTTGGACAATCACAAAGGTTTGAGAGACAACAAAAAGCTAGGGCCAGACTGAACGACAAGTTTCATCACCTACATGAGACCACTCCCTCAAGACTAGGAGAGGTGGCTCTTCTATCTAATGCATAGAAGCCAACACAGAGAGTAAAGGAAAATGGGGATCAGGGGAATATGCTCCCAATGAAAGAACAAGATAAAACAGCAGAAACAGACCTTAATGAAATGGAGGTAAGTGATTACCTGATAGAGAGTTCAAAATAGTGGTCATAAAGATGCTCACCAAGGTCAGGAGAACAATAGATGAACAAAGTGAGAATTTCAACAAAGAGATAAAAAATAAAAGAAAGTGCCAAACAGAAATAACAGAGCTGGAGAATATAATAACTGAACTGAAAATTTCAATAGAGGGGTTCAACAGCAGACTAGGTGAAGTGTAAGAAAGGATCAGTAAACTCAAAGACACGGCAGAGGAATTCATCCAATCAGAGCAGTAAAAGAAAAAAATAATGAAAAAGAGTGAAGATAGTTAAGGGACTTAAGGGACACCATCAGGCAGACCAATATTCACATTATAGGGGTCCCAGAGAGGAAGAGAGAGAAAAAGTGGCAGAAAGCTAATTCAAAGAAATAATGGCTGAAAACTTCCCTAACCTGGAGAAAGAAACATATGTCCAGATCCAGAAAGCCCAGAAGTTTGCAAATAAGATGAATCCAATGAACC